ATTCATTGAAGAGAAATATAAGTAAATACTGATATAATCAGTAGTGGATTAACTAATAGGCATTACTATGCAATTGCCTGGAGCCCCACCAATGGATGGGGCCCCAACGAAAAGAATATTTTTATTTCAACGGGTCGTACACTTTATTTTTGTAACCATGTATTACTTTTTGAGACATTTTGAGCTCATAAATACAACTTTCAAATTCAATGACTGCATATAACGAAAGCAAAATGTGAGTACATGTTAAATCTTGAAAACAATATTTTTTTATTATTTAACACAAAGTCATGTTTTCCATTTACACATTTTTCGTGACTTCAAAAATGTAATAAAATAAAATCTGGCATCAAAACTTTTTTAAGATATATTAGATTTATTTTTAGATTAACATTGTTGAAAAAAACTGTAAAATGTATGAGACATACGGGGGAAAAGATCATCTGTGTGTTTTTCTTGAGTTCCAATATCCATTTTCATCATTTTAACTATAAGTAGTTGAAAGATGAGTAAAAGTTAAAGATAAATAAATGAATAAAAATAAAATTAAAAAAGCAAAGGAGATTAGCAAAATACGAAAAACTAGACATTTTCGTTCCCGAGTTATTGAAGACTTATTTGCAACAGTAAACAAACAGCAGAATTGATTTTTCTGCATTATTAATGTATAAATTCAGAATGCATATCCTCATAACACAATATCGTGAGGGGGGCGGTCAATGAAAATGGGGGGAGGGGATGCCCTCATTTGCAATTGCCTAGGGCCCTTCACTGGATATAATATTCTATAGTCATATTATAGTAAGAGTATGGATTTTTTCTCCTTCCATTTGTTTTCTTTGTAAATTGCATGTTCTTGCTAAAAGACACCCTTCAGGTAAAATATATTAGAACCTATAGGTTCATCTAATCTATAGAAAGAATCTATTTTTTTTCTTATTTTAAGAAGTACAAATTTTGTAGACTATGGTATGATTGGGCTGCCATTTAGCTGTTCATAAAAATTCACATAGAATCTCTTTTCAAGTTGTTTTTAAAGTTCTTGTAAAATATCTTTGAATATAGTTTTCATCTATAGGAATGATAATTCATTTTGTTTTTATAAGTTTATTGTCTTTTTAGGCCATTTTATCAAATCAAAAAGCCAGGGAAGATGACAGACAACGAGATCCTGATGCCTTCGATGGACAGATGTTGTGGATACTTTGGCGTCACTTACAGCGAACTGAACGTTTTTGGGTATGAAATAGTTATCTTTCATATGTATGACAAAGACTGTGAGGATGTTTTTGTAAGAAGTTATCTCTTGGTACTGGTCTGAATGTGCTAGTATTTAGTCACACCCCTTCACAGTGGTTGCACCCATGCTGTTTCTAAGCTATCTTCAGAGAAGACTCTGGACCTCCATTAAAATGAGACTTGTAGTCTTCAGGTGGTGTACATACCAATATATCACACTGCATCACCTTTCTTTTCTTAAAAAAAAAAACAACAAAAAACAAACAAAATAAAACAGGAGAGAAGTATAATCTGCACATTTTCTTGAGCTGCAGAATCTCTACCCCACTCTTTTACTACACATATTTGAATGATGAATAAAAGTACCAACAAAACTTGGTTAGCAACATTTAAAAACTAAATTTTCACTTTCACGTAATACATATTTGTTTCAGGAAACAAACTATGTATTTTATTTTATAGTATTGTAAAATAGCGAGTCATAACCACAGCTCCACTTCTACCACAACTAGCCAAAGGGGTGCTGAATAAAATATGTGCATAGTATGATGGTTCTTATTTTTCCATTCAGTGAATTAAATTCTTGGGAAGAAAAATAGAAATATCCATTTATAATACTTTTAGGGGCTGATGATTGTATGGCATACACCGTAGAAATGGCAACATACTGGTTTATTGAATTTAAATGCTTCCAATTTCAAAATAAATAATAACTATTTATTTACAACAATAAGGAAACTTTACACAATACAAACATTTATTGAACAATTTATAACTAAAGAATACAATACCAAACGTCAAGCCCTTTCAAAATGTCCACATTCCATCTATACTTCAAGATGTATACCTCTCATCTATACTCCAAGACAGCAAACTTTTGCCTGTATTCCAACACGTCTATCTTTTGTCTACACTTCAAGATGTCAAACTTTTGTCTGTACTCTAAGACTTTACCTCTTATCTGGTTGTTGATTTTTGTTCTTCTTTTTACCTTCACTGTCTCCATAGTATCTGAACCATTGCCAGCCTGTATTTTAGACCCATGGATGCATTTATAAAAACGCCTTCTTGATATCAAGTACGCACTGAATCTTGACACGTTACAATACTGAAGTTATGTTTATCTCCAGAAGTAAAATATGGAGGCATCACAGCGTTTGCTCAATGGAACAGGGGCACTGGCCAAAAAACATGAATAAGTTTTTCCAAAAACCTAAGTACTTTTTTAGACTCCTTGTGTAGACATTTAGCATTTTCACTATGCTTTCTGATATTGTTCTTAATTACATTTCTATATTTAGACAATCTGTGAAAATTTTAAAAGTAGTGCGAGGTGAGGCGCTATTATTATTGTGACCCTTTGGCTTGGAGATTTAATATTTCTGGCATGCCTGAAAAACTCCAGTATCAATTATTTCCACAATATAATACTTCATTATTTGTGGAGCTTCATCAAAATTAGTAAAACCTAATTACCTTGCAGCAACAGGGAGGCTCCCGGAGAGAAGGATCCACATTTGCAAATCGAGCCAATGGGCAACGCAGTTCATCTGGTTCAGGTGCCCCAGAAGAAAGTAGCAGCAGTGATAGCACCAATAGTTCTGATGCAGAAGATGATGATCACCGTATTCAGTGTTCTCCTTCTTAAGTCCTTAGTTGTGTTGGTGCTGTGGGTTTCAGAGTGATTGCACCTGTGACAGCTAAAGCCTTCACAGATTTCTCTGTCCATCACCCAGTGTTTATTATGTGTCAAAATAATAAAGTGACAGGTATGTTGGTATTGTGTGGGAATATTTGAAGAGATTTTTTTATTGTGGAATTTTCTGCACATTGTATCTGCTTTGGAGATATTTAGCAGATGTGAAGATTAAGATTTTTATGAAAAAGGATGGAAATGCCACACCAAAAATAAGTTAAAGATTTGAGAATCAGTCTCTATTGTAGTTTTCTAACATTAACATTACATGAATTTTGTCTTCCTGTTCATGATTCAATGTGCAGATATTTGTTTCTTTTCTGTTATATTAATATAGATATTTTGATCCAAAAAAATTGGTTTAATTCGGTTTTTCAGTGTACACATTCAGTGATCTTTATTTCCTGGTTTTCAAGTCCTTGAAAAACAGGTCACAATTATGTAATGAAATTTTGCAATATTTGGTTAAGTACTGTGGAATAAAACTTTCCTGGAAATGTTTAATTTAGGAGGGGTGCAAGTTTTGGTCTCTCATAAAAAAATTTGGGGAACTATAAAGTATGTTGAGAATTTATTAAGTAAGATATACAGAGATGCGAAAAACACATATTCATACAAAATGGGTGGTCACAATTTCCTAGATTTAAGTTATTGTGTCAAACATTCACAATCACTAACAGTCTACACCTAGTGAAAATATATTTTTCTGGAAGTATTGTTTTATACTTTGATTCATGGTAAACTTCTAGAGAGGATAGTTACATATAAAGTTGATCAATGTTTTCAATAGAACTTCATCTGTAACTGACAAGCAATTTATTTACGTAGCCTTGTGTGAAAATTTGTATTGGAAATTAACTGAAACTTGTTAGCTGAAAAGTTGTTAAGCAATGTTCAAAAGAGTGAAGAGAGAGTGTTGTATCATATTTCTTATCTCTTAAAATGTTTGTATGGGAACATACTAACCAGATAAATTAAAATATGCTGTGCATATTCATATTATGATAATGTGAAGTGTCATGTAGTACATGAACCCACATTTCCAACTTGAGAGATGCTTTCTGAACATATTTATTTGCTACAAGAATAAAAACCTGTTTTTGAGTTAAAATTATAATAGTTTCACATTTAGGCCATTGCTTGCACCCAATATCTTTGCAGATTTTGTCTTTTATTAAACATTGCGTTTCTCATTTAAATAATTGAAAATTTGTGGAACAAGGTATATCAATAGTTTCTATTTTGTGAATTGCCATTAAATGTAATTCTTACCATGAACTCTAGGTAAACTGATACCTCTCTCCTTATGAGTGTCATACTAAGGTACTAAAATTTGGCTAAATGAGACCTAGAAAAATTTCAGTTATTGCTCTCCATGCAGTGAACCAAATTATTAATTTTTGGAGAATGAGTAGATTTCGTAATAACGAACTGTTCTAGAATGTGCCTAACAGGAGGAAAATGCAAATCCATCACATTTACAAAAGACTGTTGATTACTCAATTTTCATTTCATCACTCAACTTTCAGATATAAAGGAAGGTTGATTATTCACAGAATGATATGAATTCTTATCGTATGATCTGAAATATACAACAAAGATGTCTATTCTAAATAAAAGTGTATGCTTTGAATGAAAGCAATAAGGTATATTTCAGGAATGTATAAAAACTTTTATTTTATGAACTCTGAATCACAAATTATTCTAAGCCCTACCTTTGTAATGGAAATCAGATAACTTCATATTTAAAACATCAAACGTAAAAACTGTTAATAAGTCTTAACGTGTCAAGAATTTTGTTTTATATTATTTGGTCTTTTGGTTCAGATCTTTTCCTTAAAACATTGCTTTGCGATGGTTGTCTTGCCAAGATATTAAAACCATTGTTTTCAAATAAATTTATACAAATGGTAAAAAAAAAAAAGTCATGGCAAATATTTTTTCTTTATTATGTAATGTCGGTGAGATGGGATTCAATTTCTTGAATGTATTTGCCCCCCAGAGTCCACATTCACTATTCTAAATATGTTGCATTAATTTGTGACAAGTTTTCTGTTGTCACCTTGTTAAAATGTATTGTTCATGTATATTTATTGTTCACATTAAAAGCAGTAGAAGTAATAGTGGTGCTATTTTCCCGTAAACTAATATTCATTTTATTTTCTCTCTCTTCCCAAGGAGATATTTATCCCTGAATCCTTATTCAATGTCACGTTGAATGCTAGGAAGAATTTGCTTTGAAGACAATTGTAGCCTCAAATGAGCAAAATATTAATGTCAATGTATAAGGAAAATTATTGAATTAATTTCACTATTTTTGCTGCAATATTCAAAATGAAATTTGAATGTTGCAGTTTTCACATAGAGGTGAAGATTTCTTATATTTAAATGCTGCTTTACATTTTTACTCATGTTGAGAGTAAGAAATCTGGAACTCGGGATCATTGCAGTGCCTGACCGACAGGTCCAAGAAAATCCGTTCTGACAAATGCAGGATTTTCGACCCTATCTTGCCCCAGCTGCTGACTGGAGGAGAATTCTAGCAGCTGGCTGCTCTAATTGGGAGTTTTCCGTGGTTTCTCCAATCAACATGATGTGAATGTTAGAGCAGAACTCTAACAAACGGATTACTGACCGTGTAGGATCTTTCCTTCCTTGTCCTTGTATTATCCTCGCCCTCACGTACACGCACTACACTACCATGTTGGGAGTCCGGTTGGGAGCATAGAGTTTGTTATGGTGGTGCGTTGCTCGTGGGAGATACCTGGTTGGGGAAAACCTAAAAAGGAGAGGTCTGAGCTGAATCTCGCCATCCAGAGGGGTGGGGACAAGATTACCGCCATCTCCAAAGGAAAGAAAATGCACTACATCTAAGGAACTAATGACCTTAGCCGTTTACATGCCCAGAATTATCAAATGGAACTCGGGAAGAAATGTGCACCCACATATCATACCTGAATCATCATACACAATTGAAATTGTATTTGTGACTCAATAAAAATTATGATTATTATTAAAGGAATATTGAGTCGTCCTGACCAACAAAAAGGAATTTAATTGGAGTAGGACCATGGCGAAACAACTATGAATGCAAACTCATGAACAATAGGACAATAGATATGAGTAAAATAGCACAATGAAAAAATAAAGCGTATGTGAAAAATAAAATTTTCAAAAAATTTTATACGAAAATTAGCAAAATTGAAAATTCAAAGGAGCTGTTATTTAAATATACAATAATATGCCATAAATTTCTGATCATTCTCTGCCTTTGCAGAAGATTCTTTATCAGGGTTCCTTAACGCATAAGACCCAAAATATCTTTAAATGCTCACATCTTTATATACGAAACAGGCAATAAGTTGATCATTCTTAAAGGGTACAGAGAGGGACAATAGTCCATTTCTGTAGCTTTTTCTCCTTTGCAAAGGTTTTATTACAAGGGAGATAGAATGTCACTCAGTTTATAAGTGTTTTTTGTCGTTAAATGAATAGACAAACAATGATATAACAACACATTTTATTATAACAAAGTAATTTGGATTAAACATTGTTTTATCAATAAATGCCCATAGTCTGAGCAAGTCCAGCATATATTTGTAAGGTGGTTACACCAAGGCACAGTGTAAAAACAGCCCGGAGTAATAATGCAATCCAAGATCCAGTATGCGTTACATGGCCCAAAACATCGAGGAGCAATGGTTTATATGCACATAGGAGCAACATAGCTGTCACAACTGGCAGTAATGAACGATTTAGATCATGGCGAGACCATAACCATACTAGTGTTGCAGTAGTAATATGCTGCACCTGAAAATAAACATTAGAACGAGGTCAATTGCAGTTGCCAACACCTGACATTTCATAAGGAAGGAATCACTAATTATACAGGTTTCGGGCTTTGTGAGAAAGAAATCACTCATTATATATGACCATGTACCAGGACAGACCCATTAATACCCAGCATCCTCATATGAGGATGTACATTTCTGGTTAACTAAAATTTGTTTCTTTTGCAGTAATTTGCGAATTTATTTATTCAATAAATGTAGACATCCTAAACCAAACATAAGCAAGTTTCAGTGTTCCTGAATGCTGGATGTTGATTTACAAAGATTGCAAGAACATTGTATGCTACAGGCATGGAGTATTGATGTTTTCATTGGTCCAAATCCTTGCTAAAATCTTAAGTTGTGCTTAGCTACTCTATGCCAGTGGTTAATTTGGAGGGAGAGACCAGTATAAAGCAAACAGCACTTTATATGCACCAAAGCAGAGAGGGCACATGCAGCTAAGGTCTTGACGGTTTTGCAACCTTTTCTAGAGGAAAAGGCGCATATAACCAGCTGACGACATTTTGGAGCATTATAGTAGTATAATTTAGCAATATAACAATAGATTAGCGCTGTAAGTTGCAAAAACCTGCTACCAGAGAGCCTCAACGAGTCAGCAATTACAGACATGGCAGCAATCGGCAAGTGCTTTGCACACAAAATTAGGCTAATTATACAGGATTGGCACTTTGTTAGGAAGAAAACACTAATTATATGGGGTCAAATATTAATAATAGTAATTTATAATACAAGTAAAAGTGAAAATTTTGCAATTAGAAAATGTTGCCATATGAGGCCTACAGGACAAATGGTGCAAATCCTAATAGCAAAATAAAATCACTTATCACATGACATTAGTTATTTTTTATTCAACCTTACTGACTTCACTTTAAAGCAAGTATACAAATAACTTAATTGGGTACAAGCTACCTTAAAATCAGTTGTAGCTTATTGAACAAATGTATTTTGATTTCATTGTTGCATTTACAGTTTTATCTGAACATTTTAAGCATGTTGTGCATGCCTTAGAAGCAACTGCTTTACTTTACTAAAAAATACTTTCTAATGTGGTACCATTTCAGCAATGCATTTAACAGCAACTGCTTTTGCGATACATTCAATATCAATGAAAACCTTGTTTTTCGTGGATATTGAAAAGCCAAAATATAATACAATGATGACTTACCAGGCTTATGTTTGACTCTATGCTCTTTTGAATGTACATCCAGTCAAATTCTGCACCTCGTGCTCCCACCCACAAAAGAAGAAAGCGTGTCAAAACTATTTCAGCACCAGCCCACCCAACTCCAGCAGTCAGGACTTTTGCATGTCCCTTTCCAGGTATTCCCATGAGGACCATATACAGACCACCAAGATCAGCCAAGTCAACAGTTGTTTTAAAAAATTCCTAAACAAAATTGTTTTTATGAAATTCAGTGAATCAATCGCTATTATCTATTAAAGTTAAATTAAAAGATCTTACTCCTAAGAAATCGATTCCTTCCTGGTTATTTACATCTGCAGCAGGAAAAAATGTAGCCAGTATTAACATTTTGCAAAGTTGTGTGAAAATGTATATACCACCAGCTTGAAAACATTTCCAAAAGGCTCCATACTCCGATCTGCAGGAAGAACAAATAAGAGTACTCCCATTCTGAGTAGTTAGAAGAATTAAATTTTGTTATACTCACAAGCCGGAATATTTATATGTGAAGTAGAATGGAACATAAACTAGAGCCAAACAATTCCCAAAATGATACAGCGTCATGTCTATAACGAATTAAAAAATGTATTAACGCTTTCTTGAAATAACTTATATTTTGATTACTTTCATGCTCGTCTTCGGCTTATTATCAGATTGACTTTAACACTACTAATAGTACACCGTAGTATAGTATACTAAGTATACGTACTTGGCTCTGTACTCCAATTAAAACAGAGTGGCAATTTAAGGTCATGAGCTGGCAAAAGGAAGGGACATTTTCATCCAATCGGGAGCTCCAATATAAAAAATTTAAATTCTAACGAAGCTCCTGATTTCGATTATGATGTCCAGCTCATGATCTTTAAGTGCCACTTTTTTACACCATCAAAGTGAAATTGGAGTATAAGTATGGAGTAACAAAATACTCTCTGGTATTAGTCATTCTCCGCACACTGCAGCACACTCTCTGCTCTGAGCCAGAGAGAGCAAGCAGAGCTCTGGGAAGAGTGTCTTGTGTTAGACAAAACATGCATGATCACGTCCGTAATGTAGTGAACGGCAGTACAACAAAACTATTCGGCGGAGCGGGTGATTTGAACTTCCATTTAAAATCTCAATGTTAATTCTGTTTTATTTTTAAATTATTTTATTGTATTATTAATTTTATGATTATTATTGTATTAACAAATGTTAAGAATTAAAAATAAAATGTTTTTTGTCTTGGTTTCTTAATAGCTCCCACTAGGACGTGGTTGCTCACAAGCTTCATAAGTTTGGCGACCATTGGTTTAGATCCTCCGCGCCGACGGCGTGTAATACGAGATCGGCCAAAATATTGTAAGCATCTTGACGAACAAGATTTCAGATCCCGTTTTAGGTTAACGAAGCCTACGGTTTGTAAAGCTATGAATTCGATAGAACAAATATTAAATAAGTTATAGTTCTGTGAAATTCATTTTATGTCAAGGTAATAAAATGTATACAATAATATAAATGTACACTATTAGCGGTTTTATTACCAATTCATCGGCATCACCAATGAGCCGGTTTCTTCTCACTCTGATTTATTTTGCGACAGGAACATTATTGATCGTAAATAGAGACTTTAGTGGAGTAAGCAAATCTATTGCTTCAAGAGTAGTAAGTGAAGGGTCTCATGTTATTGCAGAATTAAAACTATTTTCTTGAAGTTTCCAAGGAATATAGAAATCATCCAGGATACTTTTTATGCAATTGATAGATTTCCTAGGGCTCTTGGAGCAATATATTGCACACACGTTCCCCAAGCAATCATCTTCGAGTATGTAACATACATTTTATCGATGTTTAAGAAAAGTGATATGGCAATTATATTATTTGCAGGAGATTGGTTTTAAGTTGAGTGAAGCCGACTTTTCAGTATTCCACTCTACATATTGAGTGTCTTGTGAATTATCTTTATGAAATGTTCCAAATAATCTATAGAGATCAACTTCTATGATTTATTTTGGTGTCAGCATTTAAAATTGATCGCTCTTTCGTTTCATGGGGCATCCACCTCTCCTTTTAGGATTGTAATCGAGAAATAAAGGACTTCATTCGGTTGAGACGTTAAAGTCAATTTATTCTGACTTTTTATTATCATATTTTACACTAAAACTCAAACTCTCTTCAGGGAGCGAAGTGTGTGTGTATGTTTTTGTGTGTATAGTAACCTAAATGAAACTGCCCCGCGCTGGGCATGCCAATTTGTAACGTAATTGAACCTTTCTAATTCATCCACTATCTTTAACTCAAATTTTTATCTCATTCCAAGCTGGGTAACCATTTGTAACGTTTATGATTTCTTAAAATTTAATTTGCCCTGCTATGCTCGTAATTTAATTGCTCTAATAATTCATAATATGGCTAGCTCTGTTTTTCCATTAAGATCGTGCATGGGATCGCCGTACAACATACGTCACCTTACCTGCTGCACGTGGATGTGTGATTCTGTACAGAAATCACGATTCCTGGTACTTAAGTGGAATTTACAACCTACTGAATTGATGGTAATTCAATGGAATATCAGCCTTTTATTTTCAAACTACAAATAACATTTATTGTAACATTATAATCACATGTCTCGAGCTTGTTATTAATTCATGATTCTATGGACTTTAAAAATTATTGAACCGTACGGCTTGATAAAGTTCGTAAGCTTACGGAATATCTTCTCGGCTGATAAAGATGCCGACGTCTTCTCCTAAAGGGGATATCCTGGGTCCTCCTGCAGTGTAATTTACGAGCATACTGTCAGTATATACTTTGAATGTTACCCGACTGTTGCTAATTATACAGTCCGCTATTCGAAAAATCTCTACATCTGCTCTAATTTCGTCGCGTTGAGACTTTCCCTCACAAGGCTTCAGGTGAAACCTCTATTCGCGACTACTATTTCCTTAAAATTAATAATTATAATTCCCACTACGGAACTAACCTCACGTAAACCTATAAACATGTAGTCTAAATATTTGTAAAAGGAAAATTCGTGCACGACAACAAATGTAACTATTATTAAAACAATGTAAACATTTACCCACTTAAAACTTAAGTAAACAATGCTGCTTAGTCTACACTATTATGGATTAACCAAACAAACATTTACCCGTAACATAAATATATTATCGCAAAATTACAATTTCATAATGTTCGTAATTTCATAAATACCATGTGATCTGCTTGGCCGCTTCCGTGAGAGTGAGAATTCACTTATTTTTGTTAAAGCTAAATTTTCAACGACCTCCTCTAATCAATTCCATATTAATGACACCTGATCGTGCTGTATCTCGACAATACAATTCTCGTCTAACATCCAGCATGCCGCTTAAATGTTCATAGTTTGTTGCAATGCGACGATTATCCGTGGATTTTAACATTATACACACACACATATGTGTATAGTGTAAGTGGTATAGTGTAAGGTATGTGTGTGTGTGTGTGTGTGTGTGTATATATA